CCTTTGATACACACCTACCTTCAGCATTTGTCCACTTGTGAAGCATACTCGGTAAGTTTTGGTGCCCAAAAGTCGTTAGAGCTAAAGAATACTGTCACACGTCCTTTTAGAAAAATAGGAAGGCCAGGTTCTTGTCGCAAAAATTTGCATGGCAAAATTCTACTTGTTGAATAACTATATAAGAGTACCCTATATCTTTTTCATCCTTAAAACTGTATCACTCAACCATTGAGTATTTTGTTTGAGAAAATTTATCTAGAATATCATCCCATGAAGATTCAGGATGAGATTTAACTTAGACAATCCATTTCACCATCATCATTAGAGTCCCAAGTGGCACTGTCTCTTTTAATTCATCTTCTGATTTAATAATTTTGAAGCATCTTCCTCTGTGAATTTTAATCTCTTTGCCATTATGGGGAGAAAATGAAAAATTCTGAATGCTTATGAAAAACTAAAAGCAGACTACAAAGATAAATGTCTCTCATGTTATTTCTACATCTTCTTGAAAAATGATGCAATACTTTTGGGCAACACTGTAAGAAACCTGGGTAATTATACTCTAGTAAATTCATTTCATCACCCTTCTAGGCTTCTTATTGCATCATCTTTCTAGGCCAGTTCTCCAACAGAACCAAAATGAAAGCCACTTACATAATTTTAAATTTTCTAGTAGGCACATAAAATATAAAAAAAAAAAAAAACAGGTATAATTAATTTTAATGATAGATTTTATTTAATCTGTAATATTATTTTTTGATATGTAATCAACATAAAAATTATCAAGCTATTTTACATTCTTTATTTTTATTTGAAGTCTCTGAAATCTAATGTGTATTTTGCACTTATAGTACATCTCAATTTTGAATAGCCACATTTCAAATGCTCAGTAGTCACATGTAGCTAGCTAGTGACTACCACATTGGCACAGTTTTGGACAATTATGTCATTCTTCCTTTTTTAAAATTTTAGTCTTTAGTTTTTTGGCTCATTGGAATTCATTGATAAATAAGGATCGAGTAATTCCTAGAATGGTAAAAAGAGAAAACGTTTCAGGATATGGAAAAACAAAATCACTAATTTTCCATACTGCATCTTAGATTTATAAAAGTGCCTAACAGACCCTATGATAATTGCCAGAAATAAGTTCTATTCTTTTTTTAAAAAGTAGTTTTAGAACTCTTAAAACTCAACAGTAAGAGAACAAACAAGCTGACTAAAAAATGGGCCAAAGACCTGAACGACATCTCACTAAAAAAGATATACAGATGAAAAATAAAAAGGAAAAATATGGTCCACGTATGTCACCAGGGAAATGCCAATCAAAACGAGATATCACTACACACCTGTTAGAATGGCCAAAATCTAGAACCCTGACAACATCAAAGGCTGGCGAGGATGTGGAGCAACAGAAACTGTCATTCACTACTGATGGGAATGCAAGACGGTACAGCCACTTTGGAAGACAGTTTGGCAGTTTCTCATAAAACTAAAGATATTCTTACCATACAATCCAGCAATTGCACTCCCTGGTATTTACCTAAAGGAGTTGAAAACTTATGTCCACACAAAAACTTGCACACATGCAAAACTTTGGCAACTTTATAATTGCCAAAACTTGGAAGCAACTTAAGATGTCCTTCAGTAGGTGAATGGATAAACTGATACATCCAGACAATGGAATATTATTCAGTGCTAAAAAGAAATGAGCTCTATTAAGCCATGAAAGATACGGAAGAACCTTAAATGCATATTACTACGTGAAAGAAGTCCATCTGAGAAGTCCATCTGAAAATCATACATACTGGATGATTCTAGCTATATGACATTCTGGAAAAGGCAAAACTATGAAGACAGTAAAAGGATTGTCAGACACTAAAAGCGGTTGCTAAGAGTTTTTGTGAGAGAGGGATGAATAGGCAGAGCACAGAGGATTCTTAGGGCAGTGAAATTATTCTGTGTGATACTATAATTGTGGATACATGTCATTTTATATTTGTCTGAACCTATAGAATGTACAACAACAAAGTGAACCCTAATATAAACCATGGACTTTGCGTGATAATGATGTGTCAATGCAGGTTCCTCAATTGTAATAAATGCACCACTCTGGTGGCGGATGTTGATAATGAGGGAGGCTATGCATGGATGGTGGCAGAGGGTATATAGGAAATCTCTATACTTTCCTCTCAATTTTGCTGTGAGCCTAAAACTACTCTAAAAAAAACCCTTAAAAAAGTTTTTCTTTGCACTTCAGAAGACCTCTAAGAGAGAATAAAAGTCATGAAGTGTCAATCCATATGAATGGTTAGAACTGCTCAGAAAAAGAAATAAACTACAACTGAGTCCAAAGTATTCAATAGTATATCAAGGATTAATCATTTTGATTGCTTTTTATTTTTCTTTTCCTGGCACTATTGTATCATCTATTTCACTTTGGGGGGATTTATCCCCCAGATTTTAAGGAATAAGAATTGGAATCTTTTGGTACCCCTAATTTAATCTGAACCTGCCTTGCCTATATGAATGTATATACTCACTATGTGATTACATCTATAGATAGAAAAAAAAATTGATATCTTTAAATACTATATATTATATACAATGTTATTCCATAAAGTTATTTATAAACCTAAGGTATTAAATTGTTTTCATATCATCTAATGTTAGCCCATAAAAGAACAAACTTTCTCATCTCTTTAACAAAAATCATTTAACCATTTTGATAGTAGATATTTTATTGGCTGAATCAATGTGTATAATTTAAAGGTGATATTTCACACTGAGTTTAAAGGGAAACATGGCCAGAGCCCGCCATCTGCAATGCTGTTCCCACTCCTGCAGTACCTAGGAGGTCATCGCTGAGCACCATGGGAAGGTCACTAAATTAAACATTAGGAGTATCCGCAGTCTAGTCCCTGTTCCAAAGAAAACTCATTCTGACCCCAATCAACTAAAATATTAGATCTGTGAGTATCTCATGTACCAAATGAGGATATCCTCCTGGTCTTTCCTATATCATAGATTGGCTAAAATAAGAAAATAATGATTATTTGTTCTGAGATGAGAAGCATCAATATATGAACCTCTCTAATGTTTCTTTTGGAATCTTTTCCTCTTCCTTGAAGATAAAAATAAGGCCAAAGGACAGACACACAGATGCACAGACACACACATACATCCATACACACACACAATTAACACCATTTCTCAATGCGTTTTTATTTATTTTTTAATTTTATTGCATGTCCTGGCAAACATAAGTGGCTTGTAGACTTGCCTCTGGCTCACCAAAAGCCCATTACACAAAATACCAAAAGACAAGCAACTGAAGCTTAAAAAAAAAGTATCAGGTATATAAGAACGAACATTTCAAAAACATTAATAAAGCATATAAAACATTTGACATTTACTTTCTTTCGGTACAATTATAAAAATAATAAAAAAAACACAACCTTTAACATTCAACACCCCACATACTATGTTTTACGGGAATATCAAGAAAACAAAAGGTAAATGGATTTAATGAAGAGAGTTCTATTCTCCATTTCTGTTTCTAACCTCCTCCAAACAAAAACCTATCCATTCTTCAGCTAACTGCATTTTGCTGAGGCCACAAGAACTCCATTAAGCCCACTCACACTTGTCTGTCCTTAATATTCTTTCAGCCCTATCCTAGCTACCCAAACACTCAAAGAGAGCGTAAGTTGCCACCAGGATGTGAGGCCAGTAGTAGCGCCTAGTCTTGGCTAATGCCAAACTGAAGAGATACAGTACAGGAATTTCTGAGTCCCTACTGCCACCTGAATCGTGCTGAAGTAGCTCAGAAAAAGTCCTAGGTTGATTCAAACACTTAGGACAGTAGCTCTCCTACCATTCTCCAGCCATTTGCTCTCCTAGCATTTCCCAGGCTCGGCTTTCATTCTTCTGTTTAATAGGTTTTCAAAGCTGCATGCTTACTCCACAAATTAACAGTGCTTACTACCAATGAAGCACAATAAAACTTTGAAATCAAGGACTCACTCTCTTTAACATACACAATAACAAAAAATAATAAAAAACAAATTTCCCTTCCCCCCATATTACAGTTACGGGATTTTTTCTTATTTGACATTGTAGTTTTACTAAATGGCGTTTCCATGAAAATATAAAAACAATAATAATAATAAAAAAAGTTTCAATGGTGGTTCTGGAAAACCCACTATCCCAACAAGAAAAAAAAATAATCGAAAGACAAAATATGTGATTTCACACACAAAACATATATGTACACTTTTAAGGCAAAATTCGTACTTTATATTTTTGAGCCATAGTAGCCCATTTGCACTTTAAAATATAAATGGAGCTTACGTGCAATGATAGCCATTTGCCAGAATGCACGGAAGGATTTTAGAGCTCATTAGAATATATACAACATATTTGTTTTATAGTTTGAAAAAAAAAATTTTTGCTACAAAGTATATTTCTGAAAGATCTAGGGGAATGTTGTCATATACATGTTTACCTAAAATCTGAAAACAACTCTTTGTCTATGTGTTTCAAGCAATAGCTTCCATGGAAGGCTTATCCCCTGATCTGTGAGGACATTTGTATGTCTACGCACAGTCCAGAAGAGATGGACGGGTAATTGGGTTCTCACAGTTACTTTCCAACAAAGTGAAACTCTTACTGATCAAAAAAGAAAAGTGATACAGTAATGCAACTGATGTCACAGGAAAATTGATCTCATGATTTTATATTTTCCAAATCACTACTCCTATTTTAAACCTTGAAGAGAAAAAGAGAGACAAGCTTCTACATGCAGAATTTTATCGAGTAGGAGGGTCTTTAAGAGAGAAACATTTACCAAATAATATTATTTATGTTTCAAACAGTCTTCCAAGAATTTCAATTCATGGCTCACTGAGATCTCTTACTGTTCAGTGGAAATTCAACATTTCTGTATGATTTCTGTTTTTCCTGGATATTCTTAATGGACATTACAACTTCACTATAAGAACTAAATTGATGGCATTCATCCCAATCATATCAACCTTAATTCTAACAAGAGTATCAAATGTGTAATTGAGTTAGTTAATGTAGCGGTGAAATTTAGTTTTAAGGCTTCTGTAATGGCAGCAAATGTTTTCCTAATAAGTATTAAGAGATAAGGCATCTGGTATTAAATTTGAAGGAGTTGCTGATATACTCAGATTCATGATACCAGGTGTTTTTGGACTGGCTACCATGAACCTTTTAAGAATTTTAGCCATGACCCACACTCCCCATTCCCAACCAAAATCAAGAGAGGATATTTCCTTTTCTCTAGTGTGTGATAGTGTAACATGAACTTTTTCTTGTAATTGGACTAAATAACCCCAAAGTGAACCACCATCACTAGTAGGGATGTCAGTAACATAAAATACACCAACATGGAGAATTGAGTACATATGTATACAGTCTCACCCACATAATAAGCAATGGTAAATACAACTGGATCTATCCAAAAGTTTGATGTGGCGTGTGTTTATCATCAAAAGAACTGAAGGGACCTATACGTCATTGTCACTCACACGTACCAACAAGCTCTGACCCTTATTACCATACATGGTACTCCTTGAGAAAGGGGGTATAGATAAGCCACCCAAAACAAGTAAATTAAAAAAATAGAGGGATAAGTGCAACTCAATTTCTTTTCCTTTAAATTACATTTTAAACAATACTCAATGGCCCCCACCCAAAAATATATACTGTGTATTTATATATTTATATATATAGTCTTAGACTATAATGGTGAAAATGCTTTATAAAAGTCAATGAGAGATCTCTGCAGCTTAAGGAGACACCCATTGCTTTTTTGTTGATTTCTACCCAGTCATGACAACTTCAGTCCTGCAAGCAATAGATTTGAAGGCTTAAAGCCAGAATCAGAATCAGACGCCAGGTCAGATATTAGGTAAGAGGTAGCCTCTTACTTCTCCTTTCCTTAAGAAACAAGACTGAGAAGAGGAAGGAGAGGAGCTAGGGCGAATGCTTTGAAAGTCAAGCAATAGTGCCTTGTAGTGGGGTGGGCAGGTGGGAAGAGATTGGGAAGGGCTCATACAGTAGTGCTCACTCCCCCTCCTCTTTGATGCGCTGTTGCTTGTTGCGACGAGCATCCATGTCGAAGTTGAAATCATTCCACTCATCACGGGGTGGGAAGGAGATGGTCTGGCGGAGGGTGAAGCGCACGGCGTCAATAACACGCTCGCCCCGGGTCTCACTGGAGCCCACACTGACTGTAGAGGCACCACTTGGGGTCCGCAGGAGGTGGGGAGGGGAGGAGAAGTCATGGAGCTGCCGGTGGTCCAGGATGCCCTTCCAGATGGCATGTCGAAATTGCTCAGGGATTTTTAGACTTGCCAAATCCTGTGCAATAGGGAAGGCAGTCAGGGAGAATTAGGACAAAGGGACAAATTGACATTTAGTCCACACCATTTTGTCATTCCTCAGTGCTCTGGTTTAATTGACCTGCACTTAATTCCTAAATTGGAAAATAAAATTAGCTCTCTGACAACCTGCGGCACTGTATGTAACTAAGAACAAAGGTACAGCTTTGAGGTGCCATCTCTGCTCGTGGATAACACTTCACTTATTCTGCACTGGTCTCAGTTTCCTCATTGGTAAAACAGGGATCGTAGTTAGATCAGAGGGCAAAATCCCAAAACAAAAACATGAAGTAAAGGTACTCTGACTCTTAAATCTGCTGGGGTCTAGTCACTAGAAGAAAGGTATTAACGGAACATCACCATCGCTTGAGGGAGGAGATAAGAAAAGATTACTAACAAGTATTGAACACTTCCTACATGCCAGGCACTGAACTAATTATTTCATATTCATGATCTCATTTAATGCTCAGATTAGTAGTAGATATGATCACACCCATTTTATAGATAGGAAAGCTGAAGGTCAGAGAGGCTGACAAGTCTAAAGTTATACAACTAAGTGAATGACTTGGGGATTTAGGACACCTGCTGAGCCCAAAGCTGCCCTAATGGTCAAAAGGTTCCTGGTGTTTGGATAAATCAGGGTATCAAAATGCAGAGTATGTGTCCATGTTCTATGGATGGGGGTAGAGAGCATTACAAGTATGGTCACTCTTAACTAACTGTGGTGGCATCTCTTACATTTATCTGCATTAGCTCTTCATTAGCTTGTTTCAGTGATGGCTCATGTTTTTTATGGAGCAACATGGTAGGTAGAGAGAACATTGTGCTTGGAGTCAGAAGACCTTGACAGAGGTTCTTATTCTGTCACTGACTGGCTCTAGACCTTCATCAAGTCACTTATTCTCCAGTGGCTTCAATTTATTCATTGGTAAAATGGGATACAATTCTTTTTTAGGTCACCACATATTATAGATCATATGTAAATGCGGATACGAAAGTATTTTGCAAATTATAAAGCACATGATACAAATCTTAACCATTTGTACCATTACTATGTTATATTACTGTTAACTCATCCTTGCCTCTTACAGGGGATATTTATGAAAACTCCCAAATTTAATCACTTTCCTTTTCCAGGAAGGGAATGCCACATAACTCAGACTGGTGTTGAGAAACAAGCTGAAAAAGAGATGTGTATTTCCAGTAATGAGCAGGAAGAAACTGAGGTGAAGATGCAGAAATTAGACAGCTTTCCAATATTTCCCAATTCAGAAATTTGTAACATGGGTACTCCAATTTCCGATTCTAGCAGAATACATCATAATGAAGGTAATCCACAAACAGATAAGTGAGCATAGCTCTTTATGCTTCTGAAACTTTCAATAAGTCCAAAACTCTTTGTAAACTAGGCTCCACTAATCTGCATGACTGTGAGTAGATTTTAACTGATGACTGACAGGTGAGAACACTGTGGCTCAGAGACTGGCACAAGACTTAGCCAACACCAGCAGAGATGGACTTGTGGAGAGCATCTGAAGATCCTAGAAGCTAAGGGAGCATCCTGACATACTACCCAGTGGGGACAAATGAACAAGAGGAACGTATAACTTTAAAAATATAGAGAAGGGACAAATTCCCTATTCCATCATGTAGGGGTCTTGAATATAGGGCAAACTCTGTTCTCTTCAGTGGATGGACGTCATTGTAAAGTTACCTGAAACCTGTTGGAACTTACTGCTAATGCTTTCTCTCTAGTTTTCACTTATAATTTATTCCATCAGGGAGTAGCAGACAAGGGCGATTTATGGGATGGAAAGGAGTGGGCATAGGGGCAGCACAGCATATACTTGTCCCCACAGGGCTGGGGCATTCTCATGCTGCAGGGGCATCTCTAGCATCGGTGCTCAAGGAGGGAGGAAAAAGAAGCCCCAACTACAGAAGCAGCAGCAGAGGCAGAGAGTATCTTCTTCCATGAGTCCAAAGGGCCCTCCGGAAGCGGGAAGAGAGGATAGTAAACCCCAAAGAAGGCAGCATGAAGAGCAGCCCGAGAAGAAAATCAGATTGCCGTAAACCAGAAAAACATGAGCACCCATGTGAGCAGTAGAGCAAGAAGTGATGCAGGAAGCAAGAAAATCCCCCTCCCCCGCCCCAGCCAGCTTGCTCGAAAAGACAAATCAAATACCAAAGCCAGAAGGGAGTGATTTTTGAACCCAATTTGATTAACTGAGGCCCAGAGAGGCAAAGGGATAACACCAAGTTCTCATTGCTATTAAAAAGCATGGTTGGGACTTGAACCCATGACCAGTGATCTTGCCCAATGATCAGGGATGTCAGGGTCCTATTCTGATAGAATTGAAAAAGAATGGACATATGGTTATAACTGCGAGGAACAGCTTAATCCTCCTTAAGATCCTACTCTAAGGAGAGGCAGAGAAGGCCAATTAATGAGTTAAAGACTAGAAGCTTACATCTCAGGGGTCCTATTCCTGGTTCTGTCATCAACTCATCATGGTAAATGACTATATTGTCATCTCTCCATGTTTTTAAGTGAGACTAATATCACCTGCTTCCTGCTATCCCCCCTGGGGTCTTAGACTGATTAATGAGAACATCCCAAAAGTTCTCTGAATTTTTTAGAGATTATAAATTTCTGGAATGTGGGAATTAGTCTCCTCTTTCCCACTCTGCATACAGTATGGATGCAATAGACAATTGTTGATTGATCAGACAAGCTGAGGAAGACTGATTGCTAAGCTTCTCATAGGTATAGGTTGAGGCCCGGGAATCTTTCTAATACAATTATGGGTTACATCAAAATTGAGGATTGGGAGTATGATTAAAAAAAAATTTTAAAACTAGGGGTATTCAACTACAAGGAGGATGTTGCCAGAGGGAGAAAGTGAAGAAATAAAACTCAAGAGAAAAGTCTAACAGTTACTTACATCCATGGAGTAATGCTCAATCTGATAGATGGTGGTCAGCCCCTGGGTCGTGAAATAGTCCAGACATGATGAGCAGCCCAACCTCGCTAAGAAGCTGCAGAGGGAAGAGGGAAGAGGAAAGAGGAAACAGAAAAAGAAAGTTCACCCCAACTGCACTGGCGAGATAAAGGGAAACCCAACACTTTGCCCTGGGATGCCCTACAGAACAGACTAGGGGAAGATGAAATACATGTGGGCCTTGGATTCGAGGTTTGGAGATGATCAGTGACTTGAACTTTAGGTCTATAGAAATAAACATCAACTGCAAGGATTCCTGCAGAGTAGCAATTTCAAATGGTGATCTGTGGAATTCTAGCGGTTCTGTATAAGCGCCTTAGGAGCCATTGCAGGGGGTGAAAGAAAGGAGTCCAGTGGTCAGGTTCCCAGCCCTCTTGCCTCCTGGCTCTTCACTTCAAAAAGAGCATCTCTACTTTTAATTGTTTTGTATTTGGGGTTTCTGAGGATGGTTCATGTGGCTAAGAAAAAATTGTAGGCCACTATAGTATGAAGTCATCAATGCTGTTTGATTTCTGTCCTCCTCAGAATACAGAACCCCTCTTTTTTGGTGTTTATCTCAGACTGATGACGCCAACCACTGTCAAGAGCCAGACGCTGGGTGGGATAAGCCATGCACACTGCCATCTCTCTACTGACACTTGTACCAATCACATGGAGATCAACACACATTATTCCAGCAGCCAAATGAAAGAACATTCTGCACATGAAGCAGGGGCAGACGACATGCATTAGGCACGAGATTTGGGCACCTACTCTTGCCTCTGTGAGAAACAAATCTTTAAGGCTTCATGTGTTTCTTTCTTCTGGCTATTTGAATTTCCTTGCCTAAAGTGTACCCACTGCCCATATGGCAAAGCACCAGAGGCCATCTTGAAAGTCTGTGCCACTTTAGCTAACATTAAACATTTTATGGACATCCAACTCCATAATAATGATCCCATGGTGGCTGAGAGCTATGAGGCCTAGAGAGCAGGAAAGGGAGCGAGATAGCAAGTTTACTGCCCTTTGGGGAACCCCAGCCCTGAGCACCAATTTGAAGGCCACAGCTGACTGTGTAAAACTATGAGGGAGGAGGAGGGGAATAAGTGAACATGGGGAAAACAGGCATGAAAAATTATATGCCTATAAACTCACATTTTCACTTTTCCCCCTTGCTGATTATAGTGGTTTTACTTGATTAAACAATGCTGACCACTCCATAGATCAGAGATAATAGTGGCTGAACTTCAACCACACAGCTGACATCTTTGTTTCCAAATGTGCTACTAACTTTGACAGTGTCCACCCTCCACCACCCAGAGATGCTTAGGACAGGCCCCCAGGGGCACATGCTGTGGACTCACCTGACAAGGCTGCAATCTGTGGGGTACGGAGGTGGGGGGGTGCAGTGGGAGGTGGATGGCATGGAGAGTGTGGGAGGGAGGGCTTGGGTGGGGCTGAGTCCATTCATGTCTCCAGCCATTGGCATGTGGGTGCCCATCATAGGAACTGAACAGAAGCAGGAGGAACAGAGAGGGTTACTGCCGTCATCATGTACCAGCATCCCAGGGGTCCAACTTGCCTGGTTTAATGTTACCAAGGGCATAATCTACTAGCCTTCCTTTCATTCTTATCTCTCACTATACCCCTTCAAGTACCCTATCAAACAGAATAGTCACCAAACTCCAAACTAATTACACGCTTCTTGACCTTTGTACCTTCTCTTAGGGCAATCTCTTCCCACTCCTTTCTATACTTCTAATGTTCTGTCCAATTGCTCATTGCTCCTGATGTTAATATATTCCTCCTGTATTTGCCTTCCTGGGTATATTTCTGTCTCTTCACCAGACTAATTTCAAGCATAGAGATTAGACCTTGTACGTGTCTAGAATCCCACAGACCCTAGCACACTGCCTGGCAGAGAGCAGATGCTCAGTAAACTTAGGTTAAGTGAAAAAATGAGTAAATCTGTGAATGAGAGAGTGACTTTTGGAGTATTTGTTTGGGAACAGGAGAATTTATTGCAGTATTTGTAGGGAACCATAAGCCTAATAAGGAGAATGTAATGAAAGATTCCAGTTATTTCTTATGGTCCATTTCAGGATTATATTTGGGAATATTACCAACACTGATTGCTTTTTTACTAAACCATAAACTGTAAACATTTACTTAAAGAGAAGAAAAGCTTAATATAAACAATATTTGTGAAATAAACTTTGCCTTCAGCTCAAAAAAAAGAGCAAAATAACATATCCACAAAAAGATGAATGTAATTTGCTTCTACTTTAGACAGCTGTGGTGTGCCCAAGGGGAAAGGCCTCTGCCACTAAGCAGCCAGCTAAAGAGCACAGGCCGATGCTGTCTCATTGGTTTCCCCATTGACTTTCCTGACAGCATCAAAGGATGATTGTGAAGTATAGATAAGAAAAAGGTGGCAAACTGTAAGATATATAAATATGAAGGATCATCACCATTACCACTATTTTGTCATCCCAAGAAAAAAGTGGAGGACTCTAAGATGTCACAAGAAAGAAAATAAAGTAAAAAATAAATGGTTCCTATTCCTTTTTTTTTTTTTTTAAAGAGAGAACTTTATTTATTTATTTATTTTGTGAGGAAGATCAGCCCTGAGCTAACATCCATGCTAATCCTCCTCTTTTTGCTGAGGAAGACCGGCTCTGAGCTAACATCTATTGCCAATCCTCCTCCTTTTTATTTTTCCCCAAAGACCCAGTAGATAGTTGTATGTCATAGTTGCACATCCTTCTAGTTGCTATGTGGGACGTGGCCTCAGCATGGCCAGAGAAGCGGTGCGTCGGTGCGCGCCCGGGATCCGAACCCGGGCCGCCAGCAGCGGAGCGCACGCGCGCGCTTAACCGCTCAGCCACAGGGCCGGCCTGTTCCTATTCCTTTTGCAGTGAAAGTAGCAGGCCTGTCCAGGGATTGGGTTTTGAGCTTTAGGATGCACTTATCACTAGTGAGAGAGCAGTCTATCTCTAAAGTCTTTGCTGCCACACCAGGCAACTATACTACATACATCTCTATCTCATTAAAATATGAACATGTGCTGTCAGACCATAGAGAGTCACCATCCAAGCCTCCCTTAACTTCTTTAAGAAAACCCAGTCCCTTCAGGGCAACACTGAAATGCAAGTTTAAAGGCTTGATCAAAATAATGAAGGATTTCAAAGGACAAGATTGAAGCATTGTTTTATGAGGGGGATTACACAATATATGTGCAAGACTCAGTCTTCTACATCCCTGAGGATATTATAGATCCTTCTAAATTTTTACCATCTTTTCTTTCAAGTTTGGGTATCCACTTTGCTCCATTTAGTTTTACTGGACGAGATAATTATATTTACAGCAAAGCCACATACCAAACCACCATCCATTTGGAGGCCCAATTCTCACGTTGCCCCTAAGTATATTTATTTACACTTAGTTAACAGGAGAAATTTGTGTGTCATTAAGTAAAAGGGAGACTCCTTTCTCTATGTCCATTCCCTAATGACTGTGTATGAGATGGAGCAGATGAGTTAAGAAGGTTAAGATTGTAGGCACATAGAATCATAAAAGTCAAATGTGCAGAGTGATAATTTTATGATTGGAAAACTGATCATTAGAGCAGAGAAGTGACTTGTCTATAGCTACACAGCTAACATTGCACGAGTCCAGATTACAATCTATTTCTCTAGATTTTATGTCCGCCACACCATGCTACTTCCCACGTGTTGGATATATTTCCTTTTGACTATCTCAAAGCATGTAGGAAGTGGGTCCCCATCCAGGTTGTCAGGAAGTGTACTGTTCTTTTCAAAGAGATCTTTAGCCTTTCTAAAGGAACAGCCTTCTCTATCTCTACCAATGTGCTTTATAATGAACATACACCTCAAAAGTGAGAAAAAGTTCACTGTGAGAAACCCAAGCCACTCGGCTATGTTCTGTTCTGTCCCACTATGCCTCTCACTTAGCTTAAGAGCAAGCCCTTCCCCCATCCCAGAGCAGAGTCTTCCCCTACACTAGCCCTGTTGGTCCTTCAGCTGCAGCTAAAGAGAGATGCTCTTACTGTTGGCTCCCATGCCATCAGGAATGGTGGTAGGAGTGAGAGCGTTGCGCTGCTGAGGGTTGATAAGCTGGCTCACGGAAGGCAGCTTGTTCATGCTGTTCATTTTGTTCAGAGGAGGGGAGCTGTTACCATATGAAGACTGAGACTGCATAGAGGTCCTAGGAACACAAACATGGGAATGATGGTGAGCATGGGACACTGAAGAGCAGGGACTGGTTATTTCCAACAAGTCTCAGATTAAGATATGTCCTTGAACTGTACACTTGCAAAAATATTCCTCCAGGATGGATGACAAGAAGTTATCTGTGTTTCCACCTCAGAACTTTTCCTGACTAGAGAGGGATCACAAGGCTATTATCAAATCATATCTTTCCTGAATGTGTAAAGCACAAAGTCGAGTATCTTCCTGACGTCTCTCCTTTATGAGAGGGAAAGTAATTGCATCCTTTTTCCTCTATTGCTTTCTCTATCCTTTTCCCCTCTCTTGCCCTTCAACTCAAATGAGTTTGAAAATCAATAAGGGAAAATAACTGAGTGAAGACCCAAAGGCTCATGAAAGACATAGAGATGCCAAGCTCAAATTGCAGCTTAGACATTTCATCTGTAGCTTCCCAGGCCATTTGGGGTATGCAGAAAACAAGTATAAAGCCAATCAAACTGGGCACTTGACAGCATCCCTGCTGTCATGCAGAGGCCCCAACATGGAAACATGCTTTCTCAGCTTAAATGTTCATGGGCCATGAGAGAACTCATTGGAACTCCAACAGCCTCTCTATGCAGGAGAACCGTGCAGCCCAAACAACTGTTGTGTTGTCTTTCCATAAGCCTCTTGGGAGACAAAGAAAAAAAAAAAAAAGAAGTTTTCCATTCAGCATAACTTCATTTTGGAAATTTACTAGAATTGGTCTGTCATACTATGCATTATATTACATATGATATTTCCTACTCAACTGCCATTCCTGACTTTTTCTTTGAAAATAGAACTAGTGATGTTTACTAGAATCAGGATAGGATACAGAGTTGGATAATCAAAGTTTAAGCCTTCCTCCAGCATGTATTAGGAAGTTATAGGTTCCTGTGCAAACCACTAAACATCCCTGCCTTTGTTTTCTCACAAGAAAACTATATAAACCACATACACATACACTTACTGCATGAATTAGATGTTAGAGGCAGGAAAAGTAATGAGAAACGGTCCCATCTTTGAGAAGCTCATAGAGTAGCGGATACACAGGGATAATAATCCAACCTACCTTGCAGGGCTATGGTGGGAAATGAAAAAGATAAGATGAGGAAGAACTTTATAGACTACATGACATTTACAGTGAGTATTTACTGTGACCACAGAACAAAGATTGGGTTTTAAGCATGTTTCTAACCTATGGTGGGAAAAGCTCCCCTTTTATACTCCTCAAACAAAATGTATTATTTTGTTCCTGTTTGTCTCCTTCCCACTACAGCCATATTTCTATTAGAGGAGAGAGAAAAAATATTTGAGTTTTATATACATATACATATAATACAAGTTTTGAAGGCTCTATAAATGAACCCAGGTTACGAACAAACATGGTATGATAATGTTTGAAAAGATAATAAAAAGTGACTCTAGCATTTGAGTGCTATAGTAGGACGCTTGGTCTTTGAAGCTGCCACTCTGCATTCTCCATAATTACACAAAACAGGGAAGGTACCATTCCATAGCACTGAAGAGCCACAGCTGGAGGAATTCAAACAATATGCTATAATATGCATTTGCATAAATGAGTATTGTACAATTGTACATATTGTACAATAAATGAGGAATGTACAATTAACAATTCAGCTGCAATTTACAATCACTGCCTTTAAGCTAGATGGCATTGATTTTTCTCTTTAGCTCTTCTCACGTACTCATAATTATACACCCATGTCATATAAACAGGTGTTTATATAACAAACTCTACCAACTCTAAGATACTTCAGGTTACCAAGCTCTCCTTTATCCATTTTATGAATGATTCTCACATCCCTGTTGAGGATGACATGGTGCGGCAGGGCAGGGATGGGCAGAAATGATTATGTCTATTATACAGAGGGGTAAATATAAGGTTCTAAGAAAAAATGTGCCCAAGTCACACACTGTTAAATGATGAGTTGAGAGGTCTCCTGGCTCCTAGTCCAAGTTTTTTTCTTTCATTCTCTGGCACCTTCCCAGAAACAAGACAGTCATGTGTAATAGTTTGCAGAATCAAGAAATGGGTGGAATGGAAAAGAAATGTGGGAGACCAAAACAGAGCAGGGAGCAAGGGATCTAGTAAAGGGAGCCCCTCCAGCCATCACCAAGCACTTCCAAATCTACTCCATCCCTGTGTACAAACCTTGCATAAGAGTCAGCACATTTGGATATACTTAGGAACATCTGTAAGTCCATATCAAAGTGTAGGAAAGCACAGGGCAAGGTAGCCAAGAGATGTTTTGCTAGGTGCTTCTTCTTCCAACCCTCTTTGCCCACCACAAAGTACCTAAGATGCCAGGTAGTTCAGACTCTAGAGGCAGGTTGGTGCTCTATAACCTAAGGAGACCTCTATCTATCTCTCCCATTCCCCCAAATCAGTCAAATGTACAACGAAAGCTAATTGAAGCATTGCTTGAACTATTAATGTCCACCCTTAGGAAAATAAAAATAGATTTAAAGCTTTGCATTTTCTCTGGACCCTCAGTTACAGTAAATGCCTTCTTCCAAATCCTCTTACAACCCATTTCTCCCTTTGTCTTTGTGGTCTTCAGTTTTGACCATTTTATTAGCCATTTATTATTTTTCATTATAAGTCACAAACTTTTCTAGTTTTGAGGAGAAATCCTGGTGAAATCAAGTCCCAGTACTTTAACAACTTAGGCTTCCATACACATTGCTAAGAACAAAATTCAGTATCTCAGAACTATAAGTGATCTTTAGGTCATCAAGGATCAGAAATCAATTTCCTGATTCCAAGTCTAGTGACTATCTACATGGTAGAGAGTCAAAATTCTTGACAAGACACAAATTCAAAGTCATCTCTACCTTGCTGGAAATGCCTAGAATTTCACCAAAAGATTCCCTCTTTTGTCTTAAATTTCCATTGTCAATTACAAAGCAATTCTCTAGTAGAATTTGGTGATACCTCAGGGTAAATCTATTTCTCCAAACCATTTCTCTAGTGCAGAATCTGAGAGGAGAAAGGGAGGTTGGGGGTGGAGCAAAAACTCCTGGTGTGAGGAAGGTCAAAAAAAGGGAAGACATGGAACCTCGGAAAAGGAATTGTTCTTCTCGATTTTGCCCAGTACTGCTTTCCCTGTAAACTTTTCTCTTTAGCTGGGTCATCTTGCTTCTAAAGACAAAGGGCAGCATTTATTCTCTAGCTAGAGAACACAAAATTATAAAATATTGCCCATCAGTTCAAATGTGTGCATTTATATAAAATTCACTATAAACACATCGAAAATTTACATAAAAATAGGGTGAAAGAAAAAAACTTCTGAAAGAAAAAGCAAATGTTAAAAAAAAACTAAACATACTCATTAACTCTTTAAGGCATTGTGAATCAAAGTTATTAGATTAATTGAAAACACGCTGCAAATGTGACAAGATTATCTGATTTTGCTAATATACTTTTATCTCAGACATAAAGACATTTTTCTTAAGTATTTTTTCTAAGCTACTAAATTAATTATTTTTACTTACAACAATTGTTTTTAAAGCTTTTAAAAGCCATTACTCAAAAATCGGAACATACTGTCATTCTTTAAAAAAAGCATTGGACAACAAGCTCCACTACAGATTTCTGGATGAATATTTGCTAGTGTCTATGTCACAGAAGCCGAATTACTTAATAAATTTTGATTTATTTAAATTCCTTTTAGTAAATCTGGTAACTTAAGATGTAACTTTAGACTTGTTCAGAGGCGTGAACAAATGATACTATAGTGCCTGTCCCCTTACGATGAAATTAAACACTCACAACTAAAATATATTTTCAAGTTAGTGTGGACATTATGATTTATTTTTAGGATTGAGGACTTTGATACAGAGAATCTTAAACAAACACACCAAATACTACCAGAAGTGTAGACAGAACCAAATGATTGTTCTATTATTCTTGTTCTTTAGACTTACATATGGTACTTCAAACACTTAAACGAAAATACTCTAGTATTTAAGGAATAAAAAAAAGCAACAGAGACAGAAAAGAAAAACAGCAAGATAAACCAAGATGCAAAAGTTTATTGAAAATTAAAATCACACATCCATAAAGCCACAGCCTCAATAACAAGAAATCAGTGTTGTGGTGACACAGAATAAAGAGCTGGTGATCTGATCTGGGGAGGTAGGGGATGGAAGGGATTTTAAAAGTCTTTATACTATTATTTTAAAATATGTTTTTAAAACAGAAAGAAATAGATTCTCTAAACTCTTTGAGCCAAAAAAGAAAGTCATCTACTCTATCTTTAATTTTTAGGCCAGGAGTGGTGATTTTAACATGTGTCTGCTTGGACATCACTTAAAACATCAGCTTCCTGGGCAAAGGAGTTTGATCAGTGTAATATGGCTAGTTTTATGGTAGGATTGAGGGATAGGAGCTCCAGTCAAACAAATTAATCATAGATTTGGCGAGAGGACTTGGAACTCCATTTTGGGCATTGAAGAATGATATATAACTGCCTGGAACAGTATTACTGGGGTGGCTGCACCCTCCCATTAGAATGACAAAATAGGTTTACTTGTGTTGGCATCTAAACAACAGTTTTGGGGATAGCTCTCCAGGGTTTCCATGAGCAAGGAAGACTATCATATCAGATGCTGACATATGTGGCAGTGGTAGGATCTGATACAGCATTAATGAACTTTCTATTTACATATGAGGGGAGGATACTAATAATGCAAGTTTTCAAAAAGAAGAAAAGAACATCCCCCACATTGGCTACTTAGGGTAACTATCACCTCTCTGTCCAGCAGTACACTTGACACCTTAGTTTGTTATTATTTGCAATATTGTTGCATGACCAGCATTAAAAGGGCCTGACTGAGTCTCTCAGTCACTTACAATTTACTTATGCACAGACAATAACAACTTTTTCTCCTTTTCTTAAAAAGACATCTTAAGTTTGAGACCTGCTCAAAAGCTTCTTTATGAGTTTTCAA